TATATATATATATATATATATAACTGTAACTGGAGCGTGTAACAAAAGTAATTTCCCTCTGGGATTATTAAAGTATTTCTGATTCTGAAATGAGGGACATTATCAAGTGTAGTACTCACTTTGTCCACAAGGGGACAGGTCAACATCTTTTTTCTGTGAAGTTGGGACTTTAAAATGTTGATGTAAATGTTTTTAAATAAATAGGATTGTTTAAAGTAGATTTTAATATAAAGTCTGCAAACTGGAATATGCAACTTCACCTTTTCTTTAAATTATTATTATTATCAGAACAAGGAAAACGAGCGAAAGCGACAGCAAGAAATGGATCAGCAAAGGGTTGCTACCCAGATGGCTGAGCTGAAGGTGGCCAAGCTGGAGTTGGAGAAGGAGGTGGACTCCCAGAGGAGACGTTTCCGTCTCCACATGGAAGCTCAGGTCAGCGCAACTAAAAACACTGTTTGTATTTCAGGATTGAATCATTTCTCTTCTTGTCCTAACCTTTCCCTTTCCGCTCTATCCATTCATCAGTGTTGTAGAAAACATAAAACCATTAAAAATACCCATTCTCGTTCTGCTAATGAATCTTTGAGGATGAAGAACCAGAGAGGAGATTAAGCTTTATTTTGTATTTATTTTAAAGGAGTAATATAATCAAAAATATCTCCTAATTAGATTACCCTTTGTATTTGTCCTAAGTTTAGGACAAGTTTCTTTATTATGCATTTGTTTTTACACAAATAAGCACATTCTTTAGTATCGTTAGTCTCCTATTCCCTTAATTTCTGAGTAAGAATTCAAACTTGGTATTAAAAAAAATTATTACTCTAGATTTTTTCAACTAGGGTTTTTTGGTTTGTGTTTTTTGTTTTTGTCCTATGATAGCCTTTCTTAGGGCTAAATGTTATGGCTGTTTCTGTTGTGACTCACTGAAGGCAATGGAGGAACAGAGAGTATGCCAAGCTAAGATTGTGGAGGCCCTGGAGGCGGAGAAGAGAAAGATCAGCAAGGAGCTGGAGGAGATGCAGAAGAGAAGGGCACTTAGGGAGAAACAAACTCCCAGGAGTGGTGAGTTTGAACCGCTTCCAGCTGGTCAGGAAAAAGTGCTGCAGTTAAGAATTTCATAACATTCAACATGAATTTCATGCAAAACTGTCACAATTTTGTCCTGGTGGTAGAGATCAAATCATATTTTCTGTTTAAGGGTAATTAGAGCGTTTATGTTTTAAAATATAAGTGGATGGTTGGGGACATAAAACTTCCTTTTATGAATGCTAAGCTTTGAGATGCTAAGTGTCTTGTCTTAATGTTTTATTTCTGCATCACAGCGCCTCCACACTGGGATGCCATGAAGCTGTCCTTGATGATCGAGGAGGCCAATAAAATCAGCATTAAACTGAAGAAACATACGCTCTTCAGCAGGTGGGAGAGGCGGAGTTTAGGAAGGTTTAGGGAGGGTCAACATTTGTTCAAAAAGGGGATAAAAAATTCTCGATTTTGTTTGCATTATAAGATGTTATTTACACTTTGTCTGACCGATTACGGTTTTAATGAAACAAGTCACAATTTTGAAAAGAGGAGAACAATTCTTTGATATCAGCCATCAATCTCTTCTTTTTCTTATGTTTTAGACATGAAAGCTCTGAGGCAGAGAACATGCAGCAAGGTGGGCTTCAAGTGCGAGTTCAAAACACAAAGCTGGGAATCTCTACTTTCTGGAGCCTGGATAAGTTCCAGAACAACATGGCTGCCATGAGAGAGATTGAGCAGGTTGGTCTTGCATGAGCTTAGCTTTTAGATGTAATTGTATCCAGCATTTATTTTATTTTTTAGTTGTTTTATCAGATTCCGCTCTTACACCAAGATGTTGACATGCATTGCAATCTTTTCTTTGGCTGTCTCAGGTTGCTTCTGCTTCTTTAAGAGCTTTTATTTGGGATTATCTGGTCTTCAATGTGTCAGATTTGAATTTAAAGGATGTTTTGTAATAAACATGTTAAAAGGTGTAAGTTATTACATGCAGTGTGTTGAGGAAAACAGACAACCAGCTTCACTATTCCTCATTCTGCATAACCAGAGACTGACGCCGCACACGTAATTACCTGTTTTCCTGCCATTTGACCTTATTTACAGTCCAGATTGGCTTGTTTTATGCCTGACGGAGGGAAGCCGCCTCGCTTTGAAGTGCTTTTCTCATTAAGTTGAGTAAGTGAGACTGAGCTTGTCAGCACTGCTTTACTCTCGGCAGGGGGATTCCGCCTCTAAAGATGACGATGTGTTTTATGACCCTGATGATGAGTGGGAACAAGATATATCAGCCTCCTCTGCCTCCACTTCCTCTTTTTCTCGCCGAAGGTAATTATCCAGCCCCTCTTCTTACCCAGCAGACCCTCTGTTCTTTTTTTTTTTCCTTATATGTGCAGGAATTGCTTTCTTCTTCAGTTGCATGAATCCTGTTTGCAGGTTAAAGACCACTTGTCTCTGAGGTCATAGCATTACTATCCACCTTCATGTGGTGGTTTAAAACCAGATTTGCATGAATAAGCAAACATATGTGCTCAGACAATCTAATTATTGAAAACCTGGGAATCTGATGGTTTATGTATAATCTACAACCTTTTGACTTTTCTTTCGTTCTCTTCTTTTATTCCATTCTGTGTCTTTTCCATCAGGCCAGAGCAGGATGTTTAAAATGGGAGTGGGATTAAGGAACCCCTGTTTAAACTTCACACCTCATAAACATACATGTTCATATCCACACAGCCTGCTGGAACTCTAATATTTCACCATTTTCCCCCACAGTGTTGTTATTCATGGCAATAACGCCTGCTGGGGCCCAGTTCTGCATCAGATCCAGATAAATAAAATATTTCTCACAGTCTGTAGCTCCATCATGCTTTTTCTTCCTGACTTCTTCGACATTATATTTCCTTTTTTTCCCCCTCCCTCTTTACAGAAAATTCTTACAAACTAACCAACATTTTGATTACCCTCCATTTGCTGTCAGTCTGTAAATGTTTTCTTACCCACTCTATTTCTCTGTGAGTTTCCCACTTTGCTTTTATTCACATTTAAAGGTAAACAAAATGCAAAAGTATCTTGCTAGAAATAAAACAATATAAAATATCACCTATTTGTAATTGGTGGAGAGGCATTTTAAATGGCAATTGAAGCCATTTCCCACAATATTTTATATAAATGGAAACGAACGTTGTATTTGAACTCACAAAGCTTATGTTTGGTTGGGAGTTTAGGAGCAGAAGCCTTCTGAAGACCAAGAGAATCTCTGGACGTTTGTATGAAATCCGGGTCCATCCGATTCAGAGCCTCACCAACTCCTCCCAGTCTGCCGGTAGGAGGCTTCCCCACCTTTCTTGACCCAAAACAGTAGTTTTATAGTTCTTTGCGCTCATTGAAGTAGCTGTGTGGGTTTTTGTTTTATTTTTTATTTTATTTTTTTTTACCAAATATGAAAGAAATTGTAGTTTAGTAAAAAGGAAAAGTGTTTTGAAACTTCCAGTTTGTAAGGAATTTCAAATGAATGCTCTTGCAATAACAGAGTGATTTTTCTGTGGGTTCTGGAATCTTTTTTTTTTATTATTATTTTTTTAATCATTTCTACTTAAGTTCAAAAAATCTTAAACATTTTCAAATTTGTTAAATCTGAAATTTGTTCATAATTTATTTAATGTTGAGAACAGCAAACTATCCCATAGTTTTAATTGGCTTAACTCTGATAGTCACTCTATCACTCTATATTGTGTAGAGCAGTGGTTCCCAAAGATTTTCTTCTGGGCCCCCCTTTGGATTATACTAAAATTTCCACGCAAGCTGCACCTGTTAAAAAAAAAAAAAAGTCTGAAACTGAAAAGTGCGTAGAATTATTCAATCACAGTGTTCTGAAAGTGCATTTTCCTCTATTCTGCACTTTAGATGAATGACTGCTTAAGTGCCACTGGTGGTAGCACTGTATCGATACTTTTAAAAATGAGTATTGTATCCGGATACAACATTTTGGTATCGATACTTTTTTGAGTTTCGATACTTTTGACAACCCTAGTTCTGAGTTCGAACCCCACTCCCACAGTCTGCCATTCCCTCAGTAAGACCCTTAACCCCACACTGCTCCTCGGGCGCCCCATGGTGGCAGCCCACTGCTCCCCAAGGGGATGGGTTGAATGCAGAGGTAAATTTTTCTAATGTGAGATCAATAAAGTTCAATTATTATTAGCTATTTAAAGCAGTAAACCTACATGCTAGGGTATAAAACAACAGGAAGTTAGACGAACAAAATTCTATTCTACGGATTGACTATATTCCATGTTTAATTTAGGCCTTACTGCAACATCGTGATCTCTAAATGTTTTATATTGTCTTAAAATAAGTTTACAGAGCTTGCAAAAACCTTGAATGAACACAGGCTATACTCATACATTTTCTTCCTATCTGCATTTCAGGGCTGATGTGTGGAGCAGTCAAACCTCCCTTCAACCATTCAAGCACCTCTGAACCAGCTATTCCCAGCATATGCAAAGATCTAATAGGCCGGTCAGTGGCTTGTCTGCGAAGCTGCAGTGAAACGGAGGAGTCCCTGGCAGATCGACTGATGTCTGATCTGAACGTGGCATACACAGCTGTCCAAACCATATCTGACCTTTATGAAGGCCTAGATGATGACAGCCAGGACAGCGGTAACTGACTTCTTTTATTTTATTATTTTTCTTTAAAGACAAGTATTCATTACAGTAGTATGGATGCTGACTCGTATTTTGTACACTTTTATTATTTCTCATCGTTGTGAAGTGTTTGAGTGCAACGGGGTCGCCAGGACGGAGCTGATCAAGGCCACTACAGCGTTAGAAACTGCTGTGTTTGTCACCATGCACTGGCTGGCCAGTGTTAAGCCCTCCTCTGGCTTGCTCTACACTATTGCTGAAGAACTTAAAAGCCAAGTCAAGAAAATGGGAGGATTCTTCCAAATGCTCATTCAGGTAAATATATGCCGCTATATAAAACTATTTTCAGACGAAGTCTAAGCTGATAAAATGGTTTTCAATTAAGTGTAGTATGAACATGCAGCGGCTTATCAAAATGCTGAGCTGACTGACAGGTCGTTGCTCTGAGCTGTTTGAGCTCCGTCTATGGAAATGGCAAAGCAGAGGGAATTCTCAGCCTTGAGCTCCACACAGATCATGAATAAATGGAAAGGAAATCTACATTCCTGACAACTCCTGCTTTCTAAACAGACTATTTTACCCCTAAACCCTGATTTTTAATATTTTGAAGCATTTTAATTTATTTACTGACCCTTCAGACTTCATCAACTGTTGTGTTGACTCCCATTGATTCACTGTTTGATTAATTTTAATTCCATCTGTTTGTTTATGCTAGCCTGATGTTGGACGTAAAAAGAAAATGTTTTTTCCAAATCCAGGGTTGTGAATCTGAGATCTCATTGATGGTGAAGGAGTCACGGAGGAAAAGCAGCCAGTGCTTGGATGCAGCGATAAAAGCGCTTGCCCACCTCGCTGTGGTGACAGGCACGCCGCTCGGTGTCACGCCGCTTTACAATCAGGCCACAGGCAAGGTGAGCTGGAATCAGGACCACAGAAAATGATCACAAGTTCAAGCTTTGACGTTGTACAAAGCAAGTAAGAAAATACAACCTGGGTTTTAATGATATAAATGCAGATTTTTTTTTTTTATGTATTTGTTTTGGAGAGAGTTTTCAGTCTGCATGAAGAAATAATCAGAGGTTCATGGTTGTTGGTTTTCTTGATAAAGTCTTAGAAAAAATTAAACAATAAAACATTTCGCTTCATTTTAAACAGCATGAATAATATATCCTGGTATGTAGAAATATAGTTCAAACCAGATGTTTACACTTTGAAAAAATACATATAAAAACAGAATAAATGTTATGTCTGGACTAGCATCACATCTTTGTGCTAAATGCTATTAAAATCATAGAGATCTGTTTTTAGAGATTATTTGTAGTGTTTTTTTTTTATTATTCTTTAAACTTAAGAAATGTTTTCTATTTTCTTAAAGGTTGGTATGGCACATTTTAGCCTGAATGATTTAAGTTAAATGTACTGTTAGCCTTTAACAAGTAACTTAATACTTTTCTGGAATTTTGGCCCATTCTCACTGACTAAATGATCTGGATTTAGTTATGGACACTTTCACGCTTTTACTTTGTTCTTCTTCATCCATTTTTAAACTAATTAGGAGGATTCCCGTCATTATTCCTTTTGAAGGCCCATTGGTACCTGAACTTTAACTTTCAGGCTAATAACCCGAAAAAAAATGTTTTCGACCTTATTACGATTTTTATTTGCAATAACTAGCATATTTCATATCCATGATTTCATTATTTTCATAGATAATAAAATGGATAGGGCTGCAACTAACGATTATTTAGCAAATCCACTAATCTGTTGATAATTTCTTTGATTAATTGATTAATAATCAGATAACCACAGGTTTCTAAAATAAGATTTTTTACTAAATTAAACCAGGTGATACTAAACCTTATCCACTTGAGGAGGTTTGGATAGAGGATATTGACTGGAGAAAACCTTTTTGTTTATATTAAAGGGGTCAAAGAATGATTCTATAGGGTATTTGGTGCTGGTCCTTAAGATCTCTGAATAGGGTGTATAACATTGGTTGGGCTGAAAATGGCGTATTTGCTGTTCTATCAGCCCTAATGCAAGCCTGGTTAAAAGCCCTAGAATGAAACGACAGGTTTTATTCCTTTTATGGTATGCTCATAAATATTTAGCTGAGCTGTGCTCTGATTGGTTGGTTTGCAAGAGCAAAGCTGCTGAGCAAAGACACATCATAGCAACAAACACTCACTTACTGAAACATCAAATTGTTGATATGGTAGGGTGACCAGGCGTCCTCTTTTTCCAGGACATGTCCTACTTTTCATACCTAAAAAAAAAAAAAAAATGCCTGGGGGGAATTCCAAAATCGTCCGGGGTTTTGGTCGACTACAGTGCATAATGTTGTTGAAACACACCGGGCTTTCGAACCGAGGCGTCAGCTCCGGGGCTGGTCCGGGAACCCCGGCAGAGGGGTCAGGGAGCCGGCGGGGGACGGGGCGCCCGACCTGGTGACACCAGCAGCCCCGTGTTTCCCCTGCCTGCCTTACTGGTCCCCAGCCCCCCTCCTTCGGCTGAGGACGGGCGGCTTATGGCTCATGCTGAGGTCCGGTCCAGTCAGCAGCCCAGCAGTCGACACTTCATACCCCTCCCTTGGGCCAGTAAACCAGCGGGCTGGTCTGCATGTCAATATCGGGGCGTGACAAAAATACAGGCCAGAACCAAATAAGGCACCATCCCCGAGTTTTACGTCTACTCGGGGCTTCGTGTTTGGATTCGCACGTTTTATGGTGGAAGTTTAGAATATTGAGATTTGCAGAGAAAGGAGGTGTCGATGGGGTTTGAACTTATCTGTACGTCCATTTCACCTACTGAACTATCGTTATTCATTTATGACAATGTAAACTCAATTTTGCGTTCTATGACCCCTTTAAATGCAAAATATTCAGATATTTTTTACAATGTTGGTATGATTACTGCTTTTAGTGGGTTGCTCTGTCGGCTAAAGACATGTTTAAGGTTCTCTATACTCTAGTTAGCGATTAATTGATTACTAAATTAGTTGATGATTATTTCAGCAACCATTTAATCACAATTAATTTGATTAATTGTTTCAGCCCTAAAAAGGACATACCAATTAAAGCTCCCAAGTTGGTTGATTCACCAGAACAGGAATGTTTCAGGCCAAAGACTGTTTTAAGACTGAAACTGATATTAATTAGAACCCTTTAATGGTTCAACATAGAGGTTTTAATTCATTTATTCTATCCAATATCACTTTGACATTTTGGCCAAGCTTAAGAGTTTTACAATACTAATACAATCACTTTTTCCTTGAGACTTTACACCAAATTATAACTAATATTTGTTGTAGCTTTAGCTTATTTACTATCTTCTTCAATGCCTGGTAGCCTTTGTAACCATCCATATTCATGTTTAATCTTCTAATGTTCTATATTTCAGCCATCACTCTTAAGCTGTTTGATGATGGGAACCAGTAAGGGTGTGCACTCTCTTCTGGAAGAGAGCCTTGCAATTACCAGAGAAATGCTCAGAGATGCTCAGCTGGCATACCCCAAAAACCCAGTAAGACATCAGATATTCATTTATAATAAAAAAAAAAAAAAAAAAAAAAAAAAAAGGGTTGTCATTGCTAATATAAGAAAATAATAATCAACGTTTTTACCTTTGATGCCTTTCATTTTTCCCTACAGATCCTCCAAAGCCTAAAATCTAAAACTCTTGATATGTCTCGCTCCCTGCAGAGCTACATTCAGTGCCATATGTCGGTGAGTATCTGGAAAACAAGAGCCGGCTTATATTGATCATCCTAAAACACTGCAGGCAGCTGCTTTTAGAAAAAAACAAAAAACATTGCCATGTGAGCTGAAACAATCCATCTGCCTTGACACAAGTTTAAAATGAAACAGATTAACACCCACTCCCACGACAGCCCTGTTAAAGATGCCACTCAGCCTTTATTGCTACTGTAAAGCTCAACGCTCTCTGAGCTTATCTCTACACGTTCATCCCTCCACAGTCGTTCATGTGATAAATGTGTTGAATGAAGTGGTGTAAGTCACAGCCAACAGGCTTTAAAGTTATCTTAGCAACACAAACTACCTGATGGTTTTGTTGAACCAGTAATGGACACTTGTACTGTGCTGCATTTGCCTCCTTGATGTCACTGTAGCCAAATAAAGTGGACTTATGACCTCTGTCAGGACTTCTTTTGAACATGTAAGAAGCACAGCGCTCTGCTTATGGGTAACTTGGATAGAGATCCAGCTGCATGTATGAAGTCAGACTTTTTCACTTCAACTTGTTATCTATACACTTTTTATTGTGTATACAGCCTGAAACAGACGGCTTATATTTGTTTAAAGCAACAGAGGTCTTCTTTCATTGCCCCCTTTTTTGTAGACAGGATTTGCTCCACCACAGGAAAGCAACAATATCCTGCATACGGTTTGCTATTAAACGAATATGAAATCTACGGAGCCCCTAAAGGGACATGGAGGGGAAAAAAAGAACTTTTGCGAGATCCTGCAATACTTTTGCGAGATCCCGCAATACTATTGCGAGATTTCGCAAAACCATTGCGGGACCTCACGAAAGTAAATTTTTTTGCGAGATGTCGCAATAGTTTATTTTTTCCCTCCGTGTCCCTTTAGGGGCTCCGTAGGATTGCATACTGACCTTGTCTCTCTTCATTCGTGTAATGTCGTGTTTTTGGACTTCTCTAGAAATTAAGAACCTCTCCAAATCATCCTCCATGGTTGTAGCTGACACATGGGCGTATTATCCTCCCATAGCAGTACACTTTGCACCTCCACTGTTGTGTTTGTTTTACTTCCGGTTCACTGACATGGCAAAACATTTTGCGAGATCTCGTAAAAGTATTGCGGGATCTCGCAAAGTTAATTTTTTCCTCCATGTCCCTTTAGGGGCTCCGTAGAAATCAGACTTTAAGGCAGATAATGTTGTCAATATTTTAAGCATTCTGTTGCTTATAGCAATTTAAAAAAAGCTTAGTTTGAGAGGGTAATAAAAAAAATCCTATGACATTTATCAGCAGCGCAAGGTCATCTTATTTATTTTTGTTAATAAAACTTACTGCATATTTTATTTATTGAATGGTTAAGGGCTTTCTCACTTTTGCACTCAGCTTTACATGTTTTAAACTGTTTTATTCTAAATTTTAAGCATCTAGTTTGTAATTAGTTTAAACTAACAAAGTAATGCTTTATTAAATTGGGGGAAAAAACTATCAAAGTCCATTTAAGTTAAAGTCTGTAAGTTTCCATGCCTTTTTTTCCCCCCCAGATTCATATTTTTCACTAAGCTTGAGTACAAAGACTTGCCTTCTACTTTTCTTCTCATTTTTGTTGTTGCATTACATTAGGGCTAGACGATATGACCAAAACTTATACTAGGATATATTTTGTAATTTTGGTCAGTATAACATAATTCTGATATCAATCTGATTAATATAAAAGCCTCAGTATTGTTCCATAGAAAGCCCACAACAGAAGCTTGTAAAACCTTCTGAAATTTGTCAAATCCATTAAACTCCTTCAATATAAAATGTTTAAAAAAAAACAAAACTTCTACAATTATTTTGTTTTTTCAAGCTCAACAGATGAAATGCACCTTTAACCAGGCATTCCTCTCTCCCTCCTCATATTCCTCAGTCCATGGCTTCTCACCTCTTTTTTTTATCATCTTCTTCATTGTTTCATTTTTGACTTTTGATATGTTCAAAAAAGACTAAAACTAAGACTGTGTTAAAAAATCACTACAATAAATTAAAAAAAACAACTAATAACTCATAACTAGCTCTGAAAATACAGACCTAAGGTCTCCAATTAATCCTCAAAAAGATCCCTTTTATAAACCCTTGTCGGCCCTGAAGGCAGTGAGTGATGTTCTTTTTCTTTAAATCAGAGTTTCTTAACCCTGGACCTCAGGGCCTACTGTCCTACATATTTTAGGGGGGGGTTTTTGCTCTGCCTCCACACACCTGAAATGAATGAAAAGGTGATTAACAGGCTCTTGATGCTTTTTTGCGGCTGCCAAGGAGGTAATGCGATCATTTAAATCAGGTGTTCTTGAGTAGAGATGCATTTAAAACATGAAGGACAGTGGGCCCTGAGGACCAGGGTTAAGAAACCCTGCTTTGAATTATCCTGCTAAGATTTCTCTCCCTCGCTCTGTCATACACTTTAGTCTGGAATTATGATGTTTTGTTTCATTTTATTTATTATGCACTTCTTATCTTCAGTAAAAACAAAACCCAGCCATTGTTTTTTCACCTGGGCTTGCATGCATTNCACACGTCCCATAATGTTCCCTGTCGTCGGTCACCTCCCATTTAAAGGCTGCATTCAGCTCTTCTACTCTGTAACTTAAAGCTGCGTTACCAGCTATTGCTTTACAAGCAACACGCTTCCTACTCCGTCTGCATGCAGCAATCTCTTTCATTCATTGGATGCTAAAGTGGGAGACATATGTATTGACAACTGCCGTACAGGTCATTCAAAACGGGGACATTTGGTCACATAATTATGGGCGCTCATTTTGTAGCTAGAATGTACCCTATTGGAGCTTTGCAACGAAGCTTACAGCTGCACAGCTGTTATACAGAAAACAAAAAAAAAATACAGAAAACATTTTCAGATGCCATATTGAATAGAAATATTTGACAATATATATTGATATTGATTGATTGTCCATCCCTACATCATAATCTTTATTTTCCGCTTTGTGTGTTTCTCTGTTTGCAAACAGGAGCAAGACTTGGAGAAGTTGCAGGGGGAGCAAGAAGAGGCTGCCTTACTCGCTCATTTGCAGAAACTGAGAACGACGTCAGTGAAACTATTCCAGCTTACCCAGGCCATCCAACAGATGCATTCCTGTTTGTCTGCAGCCCTGAGAGGTGACTCTTGGAAAATGCCCATTGCTCAGGATTTTATTTATTTTTTCCTCTTCAAACAGAGGGACTAACTCATCAAGGGAACGCTCAGAGAAGTCATGATTTAAAGGGAAAAGCTGACAGTGTTTTACTGAGATGTTAGATCAACACATGTGGCTAGAATTGCATCCATATGCTTTGGCGTTGCCTCTTCTGGTCTGGAAATGAAGGGATGGAATACCGTTCATCTAACAACAGTGTTTATTTGCGGGAGAGTTGGTGACTTGAAAGGCTTTCAGACATCTCAGGGTCTCTATGCAAACTGCAGTACTTCTTTTTTGATCAAATTGTCCAACCAATTCTGTTAATTTGTGAAAAAAAAATAAAAATAAAAAACGCAAAAACATTTGAGTTGCGTAATTCTGAATCCAAGTGGATCACTGCAGTCATAGGAACCTCTCATGACATAGTCCTGCCTCCTTTCATACTACACAAGTGATCTAGAAATAAGTACAAATTTCTTAAATTACGTGTATTTAACCTTAATTTGAGCAGATAAATAAGATGATTTGCCAATTATATTATTTTTTTTTCTATTAAAATAAAATAATTATATAATATGAACTTGAAATAAGACAATGCAATTGTTTTTTCTTATTTAAAATGTAAATTGTCTTGTTCCATTGGCAAAGTGTCTCACCCTCCTCAATTCAAGAAAAAAATGCACTTATTTTAAGAAAAAATTACTTATTTAGATTTGAATTTGAAGTAGATATCCTCTGGAAGTAACGTAACACTTTGAAGATAAATCTTTTCCACATTTTAAGTTTCTCCTAACTCTCACATACATGGTTAGTTAACCATGTAATACTATCACCCATTTGAAGTTTTTGTCCTCGAGGCTGCCTGTTTTACTACTTTAGTTAAATTGCTTGATGCGATACTCATATCAGGTTATTTAACGCTACAAAACAACTACATTTAATTGAAGTTGCAATCTGATGCTATTTCTCCCACTGAGATATGCATTTGAAAAAAAAAAAAAAGAATAAAAAATATGTCTGACTTCTCTTTGTCCAGGTAACGATAGAAGCTCTGACCTCAGCGGCTGCAGGGAGCTGATCTCCTCCTCCACCAAGGCTGTTGATCAGCTGATCATTGGTCTGTCCAAGGAGGAAGCAGACGCTCCGTCTCTGCAGCTCCCCTTCCTTCAGACCATCATGTCTGCACGAGATGATCTCCACTGCGCCCTGCAGTCCTTATCCGCCTCCTTGTGGAGCCACCAGGAAAGCGACAGCAGAAGTTCATCTGGTTCGGACAAGAATGTAGAAAATGACTCCTCCACCAAAGAGAGAGCTAAAACATACAGTGCTGTTAGAAATAAAGTAGTTAGTAAGATCGTGTACTCTGTCGCTCCTGATGTGACTTGCAGTAGCAGCTTGCACTGGGTGTAAACTCTGTTTTGTTGTGTTTTTATCATATGTTTGAAATTTTATTGTATACATACATTTTTACCAGAAGAAAAATCAAGATTTATCCTACTAAAATTATGGATTTCATGATGGTACAGGAAACAGTCTTTGTAAAAAAAAACTAAATAAGTAATTTGTTTGTAACATTCACCATTTGCAGGAAAGTTTTCACAACCTTTGAAATATTTAAAAACTAAATTCTGTTGCTTTAGAATTGGTGAAAAGATAAAGTGTTGAATTCTTTGATTTCTCTTCTTGGTATGAGGGAAACTTCTGTTCCAGTGTATTTATTTATAAGCTAAGGCTAAAACTTCACTCCTGAGAGTGTAAAATATGTCTATATTAGAGCTGATCGGGTTTGCTGATCAGGAAGAAAACTTGCTCATAACACTCTTCTATATATTTCTTTCCTTTTAAGGTACAATATTAATGTAGTATTTGTTGTTTTCTCCAGTTTTTTTTTTTTGCATTACAATATCAAGCAATTTGCACTCAGCCAGTATTTGTATATTCTGTGTTTCTGTTCTTTTTATTGCCTTAGAAAATAACGCAGCCACCTACACAACTGCAAAGAGTGATATGGCCTGATTTCACAGGGATGTAGATCTATCAGTACATTGCTGGTAAAGGAAAAGATTTTTACTGTTATGTATCACTAAGATATTCTTTTCAAATTTAAAATGTTTACACTCGCATGCAGTGCTCTTGGCTGTGGTTTTCAGCTACTGAAAAACGTATACAAGCCTGTATTATCTGTTCACTTGGACTTTTGTAATATGTTTGGTATTTGTATTTTTTTATTAAATTCCATTCATTAAACCAGCTTATCACCCTCAAACAAAATCTTGCATCTTTTGCAAAGAAATAGTTCTGTGCATTAATTTTTTATAAATATGCTTTTTATTTGCTATTGAAGAAAAAGATTTACAAAAGGCTTTGTGCTGGCCTAGAGGTATTTTTGTCCCTTTGCAAAAACTGGGATGATGTGAAAATCTCCTGCTGCACTTAACACTTTTTCTCCTTATATTTTACTTTATGTGTTTTTAAATAATGCTTACTTGTAAATGGTAAATGTGACAACTTCTATTGTAAATGCAGGTTTAGCACATATCGTCTGGAATTGCTAATCCTGCGACCATTTTAGGGAAAAGAGAAAACACCCAACATTATGGTCTTTAACTCCAAATAAAACTGGATGGCCATAAGTAGTTTGGTTAAAAAAAAAAAAAAAAGGCAATTCTTATAATCTGTACGGAAGCTTAGAGCAGTCGTACTTGACTTTTTTTCCCCCTTTGCCTTCTCGAGATATTGACATAACTATCTCATTATCATGGTTAAACAGTTGTTTTCTCGGATAAGATAATTATCTCGTTATCACAAGAAAACAGTTATTAATTTCAGTTATTAACAGTTAATAAACACTGGATTATTGACAGAATTACACATAGGCTGCCATGACTAATACTTATAAATCCTCTCCAGCTGTTGTGGTATTGAAGGATGTAACAGTTTTGACACACACAAAACGTCTTGTTATGACAAGAAAACGGCTTTCTAATGAGAAAACGCCTTTTTCTATCTTTAGATAATGAGGAAATAAACTTGTTTTCTCGAGAAAAGCACCCTGAAAAAGTATCTGAGGGACACGACCTCTCTCGACCTCTGTGAATCTGGGCTCAAAGAGGAAAGATTTTAAGGAAAGATGAGAGTTCCCACCTTTTAACCCCTTAAAACTCACCGGCGACCCGGTGGACCTTAAGTGGAGATTAAAACTCAGAATGCATAAAATTCCTCCGGTAAAATTTTTACCAGCAGGTGGAGTCATTGCGCGCAGCTCCAAGCTAACACCAAAAGTTCCAAACCCCACAGCTCTGGAACTGTTATAGTTGGAGGTCTGACATTTTTTGCATTTGTCGTTGACATGATGTAGAACAAATATAATACAATAAAAAGGAAACTAGAGGGCGTTAGCTTTCAAATAATGTATTGCACATGTAATTTAGGCGTACAGTTCCTAAGTTATTTGCTTTTCCATTTGGATATGCAAAATAGGTGAGGATTACCCAAAAGGAGGTGGATAAGAGGTTAAAGAACATTGCTCAAAATTTGCAACATAAATACCTTTGAGGTGAACATAGAGGAAACAGAAAAAGAAAGAAACCATCATGATTAGGTTTATTTTAACATAACATGCCAAAGTTAATTGCCAGAGGTTTGGGAATTTTTCAACACTTCAAATATCAACTCTGTGAAATAGAAACTTTTTCATAAATACATTAGACCCCAACAAACCCATCCTTGGACCCCTAAATGTCCATGAACCCTACTTTTAGCACTGTGCTGCTGGCTCCAGGTCACACCCACTCATCGCGTGCGTAATCTCATCTGCATCCTCCCTTCATACTCCCCGGAGTCAGCAACACTTCGGCTCTACTTTTGCATTGTTCAAAAGTAAAACAAAAGAAATATATACATATATATTCCTATATGTCGGTCATCTGAAATGAAGGAACAGGAAGATCAGTAGATCAGGTAAAACCAGCTGTTCTGTGAAACCGAATGCTTTATTTCCAACTAACAATGTGTTTGTTGCAGGATGCGCTGGTTTTCTTCCCACATCTTATATCTGATTGTAAGTACCAATATTTCATTTTAACCAGCACTTTAAACTTATTCTTCTTCTTTTTTCAAAAAACAAAAACTTTTATTTATGCTTCGCGCAACGGTGAGGGATTTGTTTTGAACGCGCAAAAAGTGTATTTATTCCAGACGCATTTGTCTTTTAGTTAAGTTTTTCCAAGTTATCAAAATAAGAAAAGAAGAAAAGAAAACATGTATTTTTCCTCAAATGACTGTAAAGTGTTTCGCATATTTATTTATTTTTTTTTAATATATATAATTGATAATGTAATAAATTCGCTCATAGGGGATTTAATATAATACTACCACTTAAAGGATCTTTGAATGATCAGAAAAAAAAGATCTAAAAAAGAAAAAAATACATGTGTAAGAATTAAAAAACAGAACTTGGTGGAGTAAAACAATTAGCTTTTTATTAGTTACTAATCTGAATTGAATTGAATTCATTCATTAATAGAGTTACTAATTGGTTTTCATGTCTTCTCATCTGAGTTAAACTTGTATTTGTGTTACAGGTCTGCTTTCAGAGCTTGATAGGTAAGTTTACTTTCTCTTTAGGTTTACATGGACATATGTCATCAGCTGATAGAGGATAACATCCTATCCACTGACAGAAATTGATTTAGAGTCATTTATGTATTTAATATAATTTTCCTTCTTTTGAGAAAACGTATTTTTTATTTCAATTTTCTTTGGTTCTACTAATGAATCACTGGAAAACTTATTTTTTACATGACTTTAGAAATATGTGCTTCCTAATATTGGTTGTATTGATATGGGTTATTCATTTATTACATCCTGTTAAAATGTTGTTTCTTTTTTTTAATCAATATTCAACCCTTTTGACTAATATATATATATATATATATTTTTGTACAACCTTTCGAGCCAATCACTGGAATGAAACCATTCCTGTAATGTCAAGGAGACTTCTGCTGCTCCCAGCAGGTATTTTGGCCCATTCCTCATGAGCAAAAGGCTCTAGTTGGCTCAGGTTTGAAGGGTTCCTTTTACACATTCCAAGTTAGGATTCAGGTCAGGGCTCATAGAAGAACACTTCATAGTTTTTCCGTGTTTTTCTCTTGGCCATCTAGAGTTTTTCTTTGTATCTGTGTATTTTGGTTTATTATCCTGTTGGAAGACCTATTACCTGCGACTGAGACCAGTCACACTGGGCAGCACATCCCTCTCTAGAATCAATTTAGATTTCATTCAATGGTGTAAATATCAGTAAGCGGAGACAGCAGTTGCTTACAGGCCCACAACCTCCTAGGGGCCCCATCACTGACACCTGTTTGGTCCCCTACGCAATTGTGGACTAGCACGTCTCTTTGCAGATGTAATGGTGTGAAAAATTCCTCCTAAACCCACCTGATACTGAAGTGACTGGCCGCACCGGACCTTATTTATACCGCAACACATGGCAGTTTTCAACATGATGGTGAGCCGTTTAAATAGCAAAGCAGACAGCGGTACTTTTGTGGTGGTTCGATAAGCATCTCCCTGAAATTAGTTTTTTGAACTTGTCTGTAACATGTGGTGGTGCGCTATCAGCGATAGTTCCATTCAAGGTGCGCAGTAACTATTTTTCCGTGTGATGTATGATCATATACTACTGAGAATTGCATAATTGTATATTCTTGGCCGATTTATGGAACTGTCGCCCTATCCTGAACCTTTATCTGTTTTACTTCATATGGGGCCCACCCAGATAATCTTGCTTAAGGGCCTATTGTTGTGTTTTTACGCCATTGATTTCATTGGACCCTGCAGAGATTCAGACACCCTGTGCAAGTTGATGCAAAACAGCCCCATAGCATAACAGAGCCTCCTCTGTGTTTCACAGTAGGGACAGTGTTCTTTTCTGGATGTGCTTCATTTTTTCATCTGGCAACATAAAGCTGATATAACTGGGCAAAAAGTATATTTTTTATCTCATCTGTTCATAGAGTATCCTCAGTAAGTCAGTAAGTATTCAGACAAATTCCAGACTGTTTTTTTTTTTTTTACTTGTTTTCAACAACGAAGTCCTCTTTAGTTGCCTACTATAAAATCCACTTTGACTGAAACGACAATGGATGGTGTAATCTGACACTGATGTTCCTTGAGCTTTGCTTTTAATCTCTGAAGAAGTTTTTCTGTGCCGCTTTGTTACAATCTGTATTATCTGTCTCTTATTTGTTGTACAATTTCCTCCTGCAGCCATGTCCAGGAAGGTTTGCTACAGTCCCATAGATCTTAAATTTCAGAATAATACGTGCAACTGTAGAGACACATATTATGCAGCTGCTTGGAGATGGTCTCTAGCCTTTACCTTTAACATGCATGTGTATAATTTTTGTTCTAATTTCCAGAGACAACTATTTCCTTTGCGTCCTCTGGTCCATGTTGAGTGTGGTACACACCATGTCACCAAACAGCTCAGTGACTCCCTGTAGCCCAATATATATGCCCACTCACTTATTACTAGATTGCAGATACCTGTGATGCTAATTAGTGGACACAAAA